GGGGAGGGGAGATGGAATGGAAGAATCGATACACAACTCGATCCTCGTTTCTTCCAGACGGACAACCGTGTCTCGATCGATCGATCGATCGAGAGAGAGAGAGAGAGAGAGAGAGAGGGGGAGGATTCTTCTGCCGGGGGAGGAGAGGAGAGGAGAGGCGAAAAAACAGGGATAACACGGTCGGCCGGTCGATAAGCGAGTCGTCGCGCTATCGTTGGTTGGAAAATCGCGACGCTCGCTCGAAAGAAGTTTTGATCAAAGAGTTTTTCGTTGGAACGGAGCAAGGGTGGGGAAACGAAATTCGTGGTGAAACGGTTGCTCGAACGGCGAGGAGAAAGGGGGGAGGGTAGGGTAGCAGGCATGGGCCGGCAATAATACGCGAGAAATCGTGAATTAGTGAGCGTCTTTTTGACTGAGCGGACAGAGGAAAGGAGTGGCCGATGATTTCTCGCCCAATTAGAGTCGACCGGGCTATAAACTTCTCCGCGGATAAGATAGGACCTCGGGTTTTCTGTGTTCCGTGGCTGGGCAGAAGAGAGGGGCGAAGGGGGATCGAGAGGAGAGGAGGGGGCAGGGGGGGAGGGGGGGGGGGGCTCCGTAATGTCCCGCTTCAGCCCGGAAGCCTTCCAGGTCGCATATAGACCGGGAATCCGTGCTCGGGTGGAAAAAAGAGAGGGCGCCCACCCGTTGGCGCGAGACAAGGAAACTCGAGAGGGTGCGAGGGGGAGAAGACCGAGGGAGAAGAGCGTACCTGAGCATTGGGACGGAGCTAATTGGCTCGTCCACTGACCATTGAATCCGCCGTCCCGGTATCGCCTTCGATCCACGGAGCACATATACGTGGCAACGTTTCAGGACGATCAATTAAACGGAAATGGCCGGGAGATATCCCACGAGAAACAGACGTTCTCGCACGTCTCGAGATTCGCCCCGAAACCGTTTCACCGGTTCCCGATCTTCCACCGGCCAGGACGACGCCCTCGTCCTCCCATATACCTACTATACGCACACATATGTATATATATATATATATCTCCATACGCGTACACACTCCACTTTCCACGCGAGAAAAATTCCTTCGCCTCGAAAATCTTTCTCGTCCGGCTCGACTAGCGCCGGATCACGCTCCATTACGTTTTCGAACGAATTCTTCGCCGAATGCACGATCTTTATTTTTTCGCGTAATCGGTCGGTTTCTCCCACGTACGTGCGTACGTAGCAGTAGCAACGCGCGTATTCGAAGCGAAGGCCTTTCCCTCTTTTTCTCTCGTTGGCCGGCCTCGCGTGCAACAACCTGCGTGTACTTGCTTGCTTACTTACTTACTTACTTACTTACTTACCACTCGCTACGTGGCTCGATCGCGGCCGTGTTTGCGTGTGCACGTAGGACCGACGACGAGCGAAGTAATGGCGCAGAAGCCAACTCCTACTACTCTTGCGGGCTGAAATGAGTCGACTAGGATGGTGTCGACGTGATGTACAGCGACAGGGTTGATAGCGTTACAAGAGCTACTAACCCCTCCCCTCCCCTCGCTCCCCTCCCTTCCCCACCGTCCGTCGCCCTTTACTTTGCCACCTTCCCTTCGTCGAAACCACCACAATCGCCTCCTCCTCCTCCTCCTCCTCCTCCATCTCTTCCACCACCTTCTCCTTCGCCACTTTCGCTTCTTTCTGCTTCTCCGCCTCGACGTGTTCGGACGCATCAGCGTGTAAAGCACGCTCTCGTGGTCAGACCTCGGACCCCCCTCCCCTACCCCCCCTTTCTCTTCCCTGCTCCCCTTGCTCCCTTTGTCTCCCTCCATCTTTCTCCTCCGGCTCCTCCATCCGTCCTCTCCTCCGCGTCGTCGTTTACGTATAGCTATATCGAGATTTGTGTGTATATATACGTACGTATATGTACGGGAGCAGAGAAGTCGCGAGACTATCGGGACCACTAACTTATTATCGGGAACCGCCATTAGCATGTTTATAGAAGCGAGCCGTGGACACGCACGAGGCCGTGTCGTGGCGTGCCGACCCGATTCTTTTGTATTTCCGATCAATTAGACAGCGGGCAACCTGGAACACCTTCTCGGGATACGCCTAGCCCTGGAATGTCTCCTTCCTTCCACGGCTCGCCCCGCGACCGATCTCGACCCGTGCGGTTAACCCAACGATCGCCGCCCGATATTCCTTATCGGCTCGGAATAGGTGAGCCTAGCCGGCCGCTACTCGACGCGACATCGACCACGATATCCACGCCCGATTCAACGGGACAGCCTATTTCTGCGCGAAAGCTCGCGCACAATGGAGTAGGTTGAGTTTATTGGCCGATCGATCGGCCGATCGATCGCGCCGCCTAACGCTTCCATCACCGTCCTCCCCCCCTCTTTTCAACGCACTTCTTATACGCCGATCCGATAATCGAACTCGAACGTACGATCTGTCGGGAACATTGTGTTGATGGTCGATCCATCGCCGGTATCTCAAATGGATAGCGTTTGTACAATGTGTGTGTGTGTGTGTGTGTGTGTGTGTGTGTGTGTGGGTTAAGTAAGTTGGATCGAATCTTTACTTACACCGACTCGATTCCCTTCGATTTCTAAACTATCCAACTATCGTATCGAACCACATAATTTCGTATCGAGCGCGCGATAACCATCTTTCGCGTTCTTTCGAAGAAGAAGAAGAAGAAGAAGAAGAAGGAGAAGAAGCGACAAAGATAGCGGTCGAGCGCCTAATGACCGCGATACCACCGGATTCCCGGATAGAATTCCACCTCCTATCCGTTTCCACGCGCTGTGCGATCACGAGTCCCGTCACGTCGCCCCCCCCCTCCTCTCTCTCTCTTTCTATCTCCCTCCTCCTCTTTATCGCGTTAACGAATTTGTCCTCCGCGCGAGAATTCGTAGAAATTCGGGGATCCGGCCGATTCCAAGCGAATCATTTGCATCGTGACGAAACGATT